CATAGGTTATCAACCACGCTGAATTTCATCTCAATGTTTGCTTTTTGAAAAAGTTTCCAGAAAATAGTGAAAACCAATAGTGAACGAAAATAAACAGTTTTTCTTTTGACGATAATTTTTGGCTGTTTTTATTATACTTCTTAAACGTTTGAATTCATAGCTTTTCGTTAATGCATTTGTAAAAGATTTTTAATATTTTTGTTTATTTCAAATGTTGCTTAAGAGGTGGATGACGAACGTTCTACATGATTTTGTGACTGGTATTCGTCTGATGAATGAGAAGTTACCATCAGTTTCAAAATACACTATATTTAATTGCTTTTTGAATAGCTCAGAAATAAAAACTGATAGAGATTTGTGGTTTTCCAGAAGGATTTCCATAAGCCCTAGCAAAAATTTTGGTACAAGGCCTAAGATTTTTCCGATTTTGACGGATGTGACCTATAAGACTATATATGTAGTATCTACTGTAAGGTTAAAAACAGATAGTAGTTTTTAAACTTTAAGAACTTAAGAGTTGTTTTTGTTTATTATTAGTTCAAATCTGATCGACACTAAGTGTCTTTACTTTACGATTACGTTGATGTTCTCCAATTTTGCCTTTAATTAAATAAGAAAGGTAAGAAATCCCATTTATAGTTTTATCAACCTAAACTCCACACAGAAATACTGACAACTACTTTTCGCACATTTACACTTTATAGAATTGATAAGTAGTTGCCAATATTTCTATCAGATCTGTTAACTGAGACATGTTGCAGAGTTGAGACACATTTCAAAATGTTCACAGCAATTTCTTCTTCAATTTAAGATGTGTTGTAGCTGTTTGTGCCATTTGGTTTACGATTTATAAACAAAACAAAATGATCAAAAAAACGCTACAGAATTCCTTTACGGTAGCAAAGTTAGCTGACCACAGCGTTTTCAAGTTTTCTCGGAAAAATTTCAATGTTGTACATAAACGTAGTTCTACATCTAATTTATTTCAACTAGAAAAATATGAGGAAAGAATGAATACTGAAAGCGTCTTGATTCAAATCCGCTAATTAAACGAGTAGACTTGTATCGAAGACCAGCAAGATAAGAGAGATTAGGTCTAGAGGTGCCAGAATAGACGATTGAACTATAGGTAAATAGTGGACCAGCAAATGATTTATATATTTTTTGATCGAAAACAGAAGTCTGAAAATAATTTTGATGCGGGTAGAGTAAGAAGAAAATTTTACTACGACGAGAATGAACGTAATTTATATGTGTATCAACTTTAGCTTAAGTGTTAAGAAATACCGAGATTTTTATAAAATTCAACTTCAATCAGAATTGTTTCATTTATAACTATTTGATGCTTTTGTTAATTATCGATTTAATATACGTCATTCCTACGCATTTTTCAATATTCTGATTTAATCATTAGAAAATTGATCATTTGTAAATTATCACTGTTAGGTTCCACCTAACTTGTTCGAATCTTGACTTATTTGTACAAATGGTTTTACTAAGAAAGCGGACGTTACTGTAGCAGAGTTAGCTGGAATTATTGAGATAGTCGACAGCGGATTCGGTGATTGTACCATTATCATTATGTTTGGATACTCTTGTTTTATCTTACAAACATAATAAATCTTCGATAATGACTCCCGGAAAAGGAGAGTACTAATAGTTATCAATGGTATGAATGGTATGTTAATTACTGGATGATCGAAATTGATCATCTGAAGTGTTGACGGTGTTTGTGTAATAGATTGTATGAGAGAATCAATGGCTGAGTCTACATACATAAAGAGATATATTGTAGAAGAAGAAAAGAGGAGAGGTAAGATAATAGAGATATTCTTCACACCCGAGCTTTACAAAAGACGCAAAAAAAAAGAAGCAAAATTAAGTAAAAAAATGTCTAATGACAAGTCAACAATTTTGATCGATATATTCACGGTTCGAGAATTATGACCGTGGACTACTGCGCACAAATATTCATGTTTCAGCTGGCTTAATAAAACATTTTTAATAATAATAATTCTTCTGAATAACATCAGTTACATACATCGTTTAATAGACTGCCAATAAGTGTAAAATGAAAAACAGCATGACTAAAAATACGAAAAATATTCTTATTAGTGTGACTGTGCGATTAATTGACAAAAACTGTACAGGTAACAGAATATAACGGAAGAAAATGACGAAAGTAAAGCGCATTTGTTAAAAATCTTTTATTCTGTACTCGTCAAAAATATGCTGTTCATCTTGCATAATACGTTTGATCATAGTTTAACAAGAAAATGGCATAATGAAATGGACGAGAAACATCTTTTAGTTGGAAGATAATTTTCAGCTGAATTCTAAGCATTTAAATAAGTAAACGCATGTAACCATATTTCCCGTAGTAATACTGTCCTTTTTTGAAATTTGTTGAAGAGAGTGTCAGTGTCGAGGTTGCGTCTTACTTAAACGATTTCACTTGTTGAAATAAAAATTTTCGATTAATTCTACTTTTCCCTCATATTACGTTAATTTTTGAGAACTAAAAAATATCAGATTTTATTTCGCGTTTCACGCTCTATTGAATGGCATATAATTCAAAAAAATATAAAACAGGGAAAGGATAGAGAAATAATGAAAATGTGAAAGAGGTCGCTTTTCTCAGCAAGAAGGGATATCTACTTTTGGAATTTGTCTAATTCGGTACAGAACCATATCTAGTCTAAAAACTGGGGCTTATGGGTTATTTTGAACGGAGAAGAGCATGAAACTAATTAGAAAAAATTGTACGTTTAAGTATATTATGCTTCATGTATACTTATATGTGAAAGGTAAAACTTGACTTGATGCAATTTTGATTTAGTTTAAACTAAATTAAAATTGTATCAAAATTAATTGTAAACTGAATAGTTTTACAACCGCTTATCAATTCGTAGAGAGTCAGACAGAACTTATTTCTGAAAGAATCAAAAGAGGACACCACGATCGGTTTCGATCTTTCTCAAAGGTCTCGTTAGATGGTTTCCTTCGAGAAAGACAGAATTAAGGCACGACGAACAACACAACTCAGTTCACACCATGTGGGGGTGTTAATATCCGTTGTTCTCATCAAACAAAGAATGATAATTTTCATACGATGAAAATGGCACTATATCACTGGGCACTGAACATATTCTGCTCCTCTCCGTTAAGGGTATCCCCCCTTGTCTTTTGAAAAAACGTTGGCTTTTAAGCTGAGCATAGCCTAATGTAGGGGAAAGTCTGCGCTAGAAAGTGAGACTACTCCCTGCATTGAACGACCTTTCTTCAAAATGTTATGAATTTTTTAATTTTTTCCTTCAAAGCCTGAAAAAAAACTCAATTTTTTACTTTCATAAATTTTTCCCTCCTTTTCTGTACATTCATAATCTTTTCTTATACATAGTGATAGAAGAAAGCCTTCTCTTCATAATGAGAAGTCTCCCAGAATTTTCCGATGAGTTTTCGTGGAGATATAGCGGTAAATGCCCTGAAAAAATGTGATTTGTGTACAAAATGCGTTTTTGTCGACAACTATTTTTTTGCTACGGGGCTTCATTGGACCACATTACGACCCCCTTCCCCCTTAAATTTCATTCGATCGAGTTAAAAGTTTTACCAGAGGTACTCAAGACACTTTTGCAGAGGTAAATTTTTGGAATTTAATTTTAGATCTTTCTTTATCAAGTTATAAGGTTTCTAAATTGAACAACGTGGTTTTTGAGACGTTTTTCAGTATTTTTCCTATAACTTAACCAGGAACGGTCATAAAAAACTTTCCTTCTGCGAAATGGCCTTGAATATCTCTGGCAAAATTCTTAACTCAACCGGATGAAATTTAAGGGCGGTCGTAATGTGGTCCAATAACAAACGGAGTTTTCTAGAAAACTTGATAATATTCATAAAATAGTCAAAATAGTTAAAAGCTTGAGACAAAAACGAAAAGTGCCTCATTGAGTTTCCAATCAGTTCTGTAAATATGAAGCCTTAGTGACTTTTATTTTTTATTTCACAGCATTTCTACGGAGCACCCAGAAAAAGGAGAGGGTACCCTTAACTATTTCTTTACATTCTACCAGAAATGATCATCCTTTAACATAAACTGCATCTAGTAACTTTCACTCGACCAACTTTCAGACAAGTGTGAAAAGTTCCACACTTATGGTTCGATCTTGGGAAGTGATCCTCTTACAGGTTCACAGTAGAGAAAAACAACTTAGTCACAATTCTGTATTTTATAGTTTTATATATTTATATCATTCTTTGTTTGATGAGAACAAGGAATATTAACGCCCCCACATGATGTGGACTGAGTTGTGTTGTTTGTCGTGCCTTAACTCTGTCTTTCTCGAAGGAAACCATCTGACGAGACCTTTGAGAACGGTCGAAACTGATCATGGTGTCTTCTTTTGATTCTTCCAGAAATGAGTTTTGTTTAAGTCCTATGTATACTTGATTCACTTGCAGATCATCTCTCAAAATGGATCTTATAAGTGATATACAATAATTGATTCGAACAGCGCATAAGTTATGAGCCATTCGGATCAATTCTGGTATATAAAACAAACAAACAGGAAGAAACAATATAGTTTTTACTACTAAACTCAGTGACTAAAAGAAAAACTGTATCAAAAGATTCTACTACCAAACATCTCGATTCATCGAGAGCTAGTGGAAATTCGAAAAAATGTCTGATTTTTCAAACCATGAATGACTAGATTTCGATGAATGAAGTTTCTTGTCATGTAACAATTAGAAATGGCACTTTACTTTCGCTTTTCAATTACTTTACTAGGTAAGGTAAACTATTTAATTACTTTTCCCTAGTGAAGTAAACAAAAAGTAAACGTCATATTTGCATGGAAAATGGTTCTGGGTGTTATGCTTCGTGGGCCTTATAAATAAAATATGCTCTGTTATTATGCAAAGTTTTTGTTAAGTCGAAACACATGGTGCAGATTAATACGCGAATTATACCTGAGATCCTGTGATTTACCACAACTAAGTCATCCATGATCAACTAATTAATAAAAACAATACACAGTATACAAAAACCGGCTGAAGTTTTGCACTGAACTGTTACTACTGTTTTTACTTGAATAAGACTGAAAAACTTTTTTTCATACATTTGTTTTTGTATGTCTCTTGTCATAAACTAGTAAAAGAGTTTCCCTAGAAAGATCATATTCCCTGAACTGTAAAATAATAACCTTCAATGTATCGCGAATTTATTTCGAACTATAGGGAACGTCTTTCATTTTATAATCCTAGACTTATAAATGCTCCCTAAAGGCTCACTCTACTAATCATAGATTGATTGTAGAAGTTCTCAAAAGGGAACATACAGAAGTGAGAAATGTACATTCAGCTTGATGTTCTCGGTTGAGTTAAGGATAGAACAGTAAGGGAGCAAGGCATATAAAAACATCACACAGTTGATAGAATTGAACACTTGAACTTACCATTCAAATGCAAAGAATTTACTTTTGAACTAAATTGTTCAGAACTAAAGACTAAGGTATTCTCATTCTCTGCACTACTATATTGTCATCCAGCTCTCACTGCTCAAACCATAAGGCTTATACCTTTGAGCATCCATGTAAGATGCTTTGCGGCTGCATGGCAGGCGGAAGGGGCGGGCGAAGCAGGTGACCGCTGGGGGCGCTACAAAGCAAGGGGCGCCGGAGGCGCCTTGGTTTTCTAATACTAATCAAGCGCATTTCAACATGTACAGACAGAAGGGGTGGGAGCCCGGTATCATAATTTTGCTCGCACCGGCCCTGTGTGGCTGATGACTTTCAGAATGTAGGGAGCATCAGTCAACTTAAGGTCAAATGTCTGTGTGCATTTGATATGCAAGGCGTAGAAAGGAGTAACGATCTTCTGTCTAGGCTTTACTTATCTCTATACCAGTCACCTGTCAAAAATTGAGTGTATAACAAAGAAAGAATAACCAATGAGCGAGAACATTATTCATGCTGTGTTCTCTGTATGACCTAAAACTTTTAGAAAAGCAATAACGTTACCACTCTACAAACGGAAAAAGTCCTTGATGAACAGGATCAACTGTTTGTGCGATGTTTTTCTAATTCATATGTGTTGACACACATACTTACCCTTTTGGCCAGTTGGACCTAATGATCCTGAAGATACTCTTGCACCTGGTATTTGTAAACCACCTGGCGCATTTCCCTGGGAACATGATGAACATGTACATCCGGCAACACTATTCCATGACCAGGTCATACAGCCGTTTGCAACGCATTTGGATGAACAATTCGGTGAAGTATTCTCGAAAGATCCACCGTCAGTCCGACCTTGCGTTCCAGGAGATCTCACTGCCTCTGGTATTTGTGAATGAATTGCCGCATTTCCTTGGGAACATGATGAACATGTACATCCGGTAACGCTATTCCATGACCAGAGCATACAGCCGTTTGTGTGGCATTTGGATGAACAGTTGGATGAAGAATTTGCGGTAAATTCATCGCCAGTCCGACCTTGCGATCCTGGAGATCTCGTTGCGCCTGATGTTCCTTGTAATCCCTGCGCACCTTAAAAAGTGGAAAATTCTTCGTTTACAAACTTTTACGGCCGAATTTATACAAGTTTAGCTAGTAGGACCATCTTCTTACTTGGTTTTAACGAAATGTTCCCAAAAATGTCAGCTCAAGATAGTACACTTAAGACCCCTCTGTCAGAAATACGAAATGTTTCAAATAATTCAGTATTGAATAAAGAGCATGGTTGGATAGCCTCGGGTGTCTGTGAGCAGAATGCATGCTGATTTTCTCCACGTCAAGGATTTCTGATAGTTGTTTGAAAATGTTTCTAAAGTCATAAAAAAGGATTTTTCAAAAGCTGCACTATAATAACGAAACTTCAGAGCGAACTGAATATCAGTTTCAGGACTTAATTAAAGGAAGGTATTGGATGATCTTTGAACTCATAATTAACGAATCTGGATTTGAGCGTAATCGAGGTGTGATTCCCGTATTGGCATATCAAGTCCGTTATTTTTTTTTGAATCGCCAGAACGTAAGAGAACTTCTGTCTATTAGTTTAAAGTGGGAGTTTACCAAGGGGGAAACACCGTACTCCATACTCCACTACTCCGCGAAGTGAACTTCCACTCCGGTTCACTTCGTCACTCCGGAGTGACGGAGTGACAGCTGCTATAACTCTTTTCTCTCGCATTTGTTGATCAACTGTCGTTTCGGGAATAGTATGCAGAGCACTAATGAATGCTAACAATCCAAGTTCTTGAAAGAAGCGATAATAATAGCAGTTCCCAGTGTTCCCACAATTCCCATAATCCACAATGTTCCCATAGTTCCCGTAGTTCCTTTAGTGCGCGTAGCTTCTAATGCAACGGGGAAACAGCGGACTCCCGTCCCTTGGAGTTACATGAAGTCAAGTGTAGTCATCTCAAGAGGAAAACAGCAGACTCCATCAGTCTCTAGTCTTATGAAACCTGTTGAAGTTGTATGGGATGCACTGGAGTCTACTGGAGGTTTTCGAAGACCTAAGATTTCTACTGCTTAAACCTATTATTTCCCAGAAATGGAATGTTAGATCTGCCTTCTTGTGAAAAATTTCTCAATAACAGAACATTACAGCTCAGCCCTTTTTAGATTTGTTTTCCCAAACAGGACACTTGTTTTAGATATAGAACAAATTTCCCACATATACGAACAAAAATGTTGCATTTTTGGGAATTTTCCCTAACAAAGGAGAAACAATGTTCTTTTTTTGGGAGAATATTTCCCAAAATGTAACACATTTGTTCTTTTATTTGGAAAATTCATCTGATTTTCGGAACAAAAGTGTCCTGTTGTGGGAAAGTATGCTCAAATGGACTGAACATTCATTTTGGGGAAATGAATAGGTACCCTGACTCCATATGCCGTTAGGAGTCAAGTGGAGTCTGCTGTTTCCGCCTTGTTCTAATGTCCTAGGAATATTGAGAACTATAGGAACTATAAGAACATTAGGAGCATAGGAACAATGGAGTCTAAACAATGCTACAAATGAAAACAGAATTTGAGAAAGCAAGGCACGTCAATGGAAAACATCAAACTCCATTCACTCCAGGGTCACTCCGCCCACTCCGTCACTCCGGATCACTGCACTACTCCGTGCACTCCGGTTAAGCTCCGCGGAGTGACGGAGTTAGCGGAGTACGGTGTTTCCCCCTTGGAGTTTACACATTACATTCAAAAATGTATATTATAGATAATAAACAGATATAGAATTTGTATATGATTTATACCACATACACGTGTTTGATTGAAGATGTCTACGTTTTTTTACATTCTCACTGTAAACGAGACATTCAAAAACACGATACTTATTTTCCTAACATGAGGTACAGACTAGTTTTGTACCTTCATGTCGGCTACATTATGTTCCGGAAGAGAACACTGGTACTCTGTAAAACACGGTAAAAGAAGGGCTGTAAAAAGGATTCACTATTGTAAAACACAATAAATCGCGGCTTTTTGGAATATATGCATGCTGTCCGCTTACCGAAAAATTCTAATAAGCTTAGCAGAAAATTTTCTACAAAAACGACGCTTGTTCGCAAAATTTTTCCAGACGGAGCGGATATGATCCGCAGCGTATTTGTCATCTACGGTACTTCAGTGCAAAATTTAAGACAAGCCTTCCGTCGAGATTTTAGAAATGTTGTGAATTTCTCTAATTTGGTATAAAAAGTTCCGTAACTATAAATGTATAAAGATTTGTGAGATCTCCAACAGTGGAAAAGTATTTCTAATATATGTTTCATGGAAAATTATCTACATTCTGTAATTTTCGTCACCCGCAGATTATTCTTTCGTGTTATCGAAATTGCTTGCTCTGTTTTACTACACATTTCATCTCACATGTCTTTCAATATTTCCTCTCTCCTACTTCGCTATATGGCAAAAAAATTCATAGCAATTCCATTTTACACACAGACTCAGGCAACTCTTTTTGTGACTCTAGATGAAGAGTCACGCAGACAATAACTTAGAAGCCGCTTGAAAACTAGAAAGCTTTCTGGAAACTACAAGATCTGGCAGGATTTTATCTCTCATGTCTATCCTGCGGTATCCTGCAATTTTTCTGCGTCAATGTCTATCAAGGATGACCGTGACGGAACTTGTCTGTATTTTTATTTTGGCAAAGTTAAGAACTTTTGCATTTTTCTTGTAAAATTATAAAAGCGTTTTTCGTTCAGTAAACTTCTGGAAAACGTATACCTTACTATATTAATTTCAACATCTCAATGTTTTTATCGAAGTTTTTAAATTATACGTTCAATATAGTATTCAAAACAGAAGAAATTAGAATAGTCTGATATCTCTGCTTTGCTATACATCTTCTTTTCACAGCAGTGGGATCATTCTAATGACTTTAATTTCATACTGACGGAAGAAAATAGAATATTCTTGACATAAAAAGGATCTATCTTTTCAGCTATCTATTAATAGTATGCTTTTTTACACATGAAAATGCGTGTTAAAGCCAAAATATTAAGGGAATTGGACACGAGCAAAGCTTTTATAACTTCACAAGAAAAGATGCGAAAGTACTTAACTTTCGAAAAATCAAAAATATAGACAAGTTCCTTCACCGTTGCCATGGACAGACATTGGTGAGAAAGGATTGCAGGATAGACATGAGAGACAAAATTCTTTTTCTTTCGACTAACAAAATCCTGCCAGATCTCGTAGGAAAAAAACTTGCGGATTGAATAAGTTAACAAGTCTTGCAATGTTTCTTACCTTCACGCAGGATTTTTTCCACGTTAATTCTACATAAACTATGCAGGTTTTCGTCATAGCCGGCAGAATAAAAATCCTGCGTAGAGGTAAGAAACAGCCCCAGATATTTTAATACCGACAAGCCGCGGGATCCTGCATGAATTCTGATTATTTTTTTTCAGTGGAGATACGTCCTCTTACAATAAATTTTTCTGTCCAGTTTATGTTATATCATGAAGTGGCGCCTTTTATTCAATCTATTATTTAACTAGTCTTCCTTTCTTTAAATTCTAGCAAACTCAGTGTATTTTGTCATCATTTCTGATATTTGATATAAGCTTTACTCTGTTAGATAACAAGCGGAAAAATACTCCATTATAGTATTCTAAACTATAATTATCGAAAAAACGAGGTCAATTTTGTATTAATTTGCAGTAAACTGCAAAAACTAAATCCTGTTCTGTATCTAAAATTTTAGTAGTTGTCTTCTTAAATCGCATCAATTTGTGTCCTCTGTTGTTTCTCTCTTTTGTTTTGAGACTACCACGGAATGCCTACCGACCAGTGTTCCAAATCCTACGTACAGGCACACAGTTAGACAACTGTTTTGTATGACGGTGAACTAAAGCCAAGGAAACAGAGTCCTCCGATCAACGTTTTGTGCGATGTTTTTCTAATTCATCGGCGCTGACATAGACACTTACCCTTTTGGCCAGTTAGATCTAATGATCCTGAAGATACTCTTGCACCTGGTATTTGTAAACGACTTGGCGCATTTCCCTGGGAACATGATGAACATGTACATCCGGTAACACTATTCCATGACCAGGCCATACAGCCGTTTGCAACGCATTTGGATGAACAATTCGGTGAAGTATTCTCGAAAAATTCACCGTCAGTCCGACCTTGCGTTCCAGGAGATCTCACTGCCTCTGGTATTTGTGAATGAATTGCCGCATTTCCTTGGGAACATGATGAACATGTACATCCGGTAACACTATTCCATGACCAGGCCATACAGCCGTTTGCACGGCATTCGGATAAACAGTTCGATGAAGTACTCTCTAAAACATAAAGTATCTTTTCCTATGTGTCGTTTTTAACATCTGCGTACTGTGGAAGAGAACATATGAAAGAGACTTTTTACTTTGAAATATTATGGAGACGTGTTGTTGTTTGATCGGCAGTTCGAGTGCTTAGCACGGAAGTTAGATTGGAAGAAACTTAATATAAATCCTTCTATACTTTAGGAATCTTATTATCAGAAGAATAAGGTAGGCAATGGCACCACAAACCCTCTTCCATTTCCCTAATGGTATTTTGATTAAAGAATGACTGTATTCAAGGAAAATTCAATCAAAGACATCATCAGACAGTTTCAACAGAAATAACAAACTTGAACTGCTGTCAGAATTACCACAGTTTAATTTCATTATAAATGTGTATGTTATGAAAAGTGAAGATGTATTGCAAAAGAACATATCCTGAATAGGCAAGTTCAAATTCTGAAGTTCTTCAATATGTCCTTCTCCATGTCAAACCAGTCAAATCTTAGAAGATATACAGAAAGAAAACTCGGGGCAGTGTTTCCCATTAGAGGATGAGAGGAAGGAGTTCTTTATCCTTCCAAAAAGTGGAAAACTATGTTGTTTCATCAATGTCTTTGTGATATGATATGAAAAGATTCTTACCGGTCGTTAATAAAAATATGCATATTTGAATAACAATTATTTTAAAACCCATAATTGTATAAAATTATTTCTTACTGTTTGTTTGATCTATTATGTGTATATAGTATAGGTTGTTATATTCTTGTCTTTCTAATATAATGTCACATCATCTACTAACAACAGTTATCCGCTTTCTCTTATTTATGCCACAACAACAACAACTTCAGCATTTATCAGATAAGGATTTTAGTAGTAATAAGAGAAAAGAAAAAAAACTTATCAGTATCAACATATTCGGAATAGAAATAGCCACGCAGATGATGGATCTCAAGAACAATAATTATATGTATGTCCACATAAGTCTCTGCGTTGATTGAAACAGATTTTACCGCACACCACGAGAAAGAGTACACTGAATTGTACCCCAAAACTTGCACTGACTAATTTGACCGTTATACAAAATGAAGACCTCCATGAAAAAATGTCTTATACATGTTGGAGTACTGCAGTTTTGTTAGTCCAACTTTTTGCATTTGACCTTTAGATTAGAACTTTTGATACGTTCTTAAGGGGAATTGAAAGTAGAACCTTTTGAAAAAAACTTAAGTGGTGTAGAAACTAAGTTGTGTAGAAAATGTTGTTGATGCTGCTAAAGCAACAGCAGCAAAAAAAAGCAAGTAGTGCAGTACGAAGAACGTAGAACGATAATGCGGGAGCGGCTTTTTTTTTATTCAATGAGAAGAAATGAACAAATGAAAATGAATACAAATTAACAACGCAAGCTATTTGTCACTGAAGGGTATAATTTAATTGAAAAACAAATGAAAAAGTTAACTCTGAAAGGATTAGGTGTTCGAATGATTATGTTGGTTCTCTGACTTATGTATACTGAGTACGGTATTTCGTGCACAAAGGCAAAAATATTATGAGTAAATGCATCCTGTTTATCAAATTATTATGTTTTCGAAATTTCAGAGTTAACTTTTCAACTTCAGTTCAACTTCGTTCAAATTTCGATGATGTCAAACTCTGACAGTGCAACGGTAGTCTACACTAGCGTATTTTCAGCCGTGTAATAAAAGACTTTACCTGCACTGGTAGATCAGTCGAAAATTTTTGTGGGGATAATCTATCTTTTTACTTGAACTTGTGATTTTATGGGAGTATTTCCACTGCAGATATCAGTTGTTAGAATTTCTTAGTGGTTGCGTTTGCCATCATTGACCTCCATGGCGGTTCGCCGATGTTTACCCTAACAGATTTTGACCTTGTTTTGGTAGTAAGAATAATACAAGAAGGAGTAGCTTTCTTACAATATTTACGACATAACAAATAAATAATAACGGAAAATCTTCTATTTATAAGGAGTACACACTAAAAAAAAAGCGTCGTTTACTAAACCCAAAAATGGTTTAGTAAAATGCAATGACACGCTACCGCTTCAAAAGTTTAGTAAAAAACCATTTTAGGGTTTAGTAGCCTACTATTTACTTATGTTTTTCGCAATGTAAAAAGAAAAGATACGGAAAGAGGCAACCAATAAAAATATCTCAACAGATGCAGAGAAGGTACCACGCTACTCAGTCAGTCATAAGTACAGTGAAAAAGCAGCACATGAAAAGCTGCTTGTGCAGAAAGGGATTGATCAAGTTTTCTTGCTCTCCCTTTCTGCTTGTTTACTTCTTTTTTTCGTAATTATGGAAGCTTTTCCACTTTTTAAAAAATTGATTTCATTCCGATTTTTCGAGGCACCTGTGAACAGTGCCTTCGTTAGGCATACTACTTAATTTGAGTTTAAAACGCATTCTGCAGTTTTCCACACGGATGTGCGATCCAACATTCATTGCGCACAATGGGAAAAATATAGAACATTTGACTGCAACAAAACTCTAAAGGTTATTTCCTAAACCCTTAAGAGCGTTTTACTTAACTTTATGGGTTTTAATGATTATAAACCCTTAGAGTTTATAACGATTTTTTCAGCAAGTCGTTTGAAAAACCTTTCGAGGGTTTATAATTATGGAAAATCTGTGCGGGTTTAGGAAAAGAACACTAAAGGTTTAGGAAAATCCTTCTTCTAAAAAAAATAAAAAACCTTTAGGGTTTTTCTTGCTAGATGAAAAACCCTTTGACTTAAAACAGAAATTTTTTTTCTAGTAAACTCCTCGTGAAAAACCGTTGAGGGCTTAGTAAGCGTATTAAACCTTGTTAAAAACCTTTAAAGGTTTAAGATCGATGATAAACCTTTCAAAAAACCTTTGATAGTTTTTTAAGGGGTTCAGCTCGCTTACTAAACCCTTTAAAGTTTAGTAAACGGCGCTCTTTTTTAGAGTGTACGCGAAATTCAGCGAAGGTCCAAATTTGATGAAAATTTGACAGAATGTTATTCTACTCTTATATACCTACAGTGCTAGCGTGAAAGTACATGGGCTGAGATATGAGATTCCCCCAAAACCGTTGCTATTTCAAGTAAAATTGATTTTTTCCGATCAAGAAGTATGTTTTCTGAAAAATAACAGGATATTTGGACTCAGCGCAAAAAAGTACATCGAATGATGTGTATGTGAGGTATTTCTGTACAAAAAATGTTTCAATCCAGTGTAATACGACGGTTAGCGTATAGACACAGCAATTTTGACTTGTCACGTGGACAAGTTCTAGAAAAGTTATGCGATAGTCTCTCACACTCTTTTTATAGGTTTGCGTATACGCTCTTTCGAGAGAAATGATTTTCAAATTTCCAAAGTATGTTCGCACTGGTTTTCCAGAAAAATGTCCGAAAAACCGGTACAAACATACTTTGAAAGTTCGAAAACCATGCCTTTGAAAAGAGAACATACGAAATCCTATAAAAAGTGTTTAGACACTTTCGTACTACTTACTGACACATTTCCACGTGCCCAGCCAGAAGTGCCCACCGTGGGCCTTTTTTGCACTTTTGGCCGTTTTAGAGCCTCTACAACAAAAGCACATCTGACTGCGCAAACCATATAACTCTACCGCTAAAGCTTTTTAACAGTTTAATAGTATATCCGTTACAAAATCACAAGCAAAACAACATTTTTATGTCTTCGGCCCAATGGAATATGATTATGTTGTACCTAAGACAAAAGTTAATAGTATGGATTACGATAACAGATGTAAACATAAAGTGTGTATGTGTGATAAATTAACAGCTCAATGCTTCAGCCAATATCAACACACATTCAATCTGAAAAAATTTAGTAATTAAGCAAAAGGATAATCTCAGTGCAAGTTAACTGCAAAACCGTTTTTTTGTTCTGTTCTTTTGATGAATTTGAAACTGTGAGTTGGACAGAGAGACCAACTTTTCAAGTGATAATAATATTACAGTTTTGTATGGTTCGGACTGGGACTTCATGTTGTTTCTCTCGAAGCCGATAGATCTTTCAAACAAATAGTATCTAGAAGACTGAAACCTGAGTGTACTCTGCGAGGATCAGCTTGTTCTGTAGAGAGAAAACTCCTTTGGAATCTCTGTGCGATTTGAAGTGAGTTAAAAATTTCGTCTAGATGTATTTTACGAAGTCTTTGATGGTTGGATGACTGTGCTTCTTCACATGACCTTTGCTGTGAAGTGTAAGTCTCTAACCTGTGGAATCACATATTCTGGTTATATAGTTGTGGATAATACTCATTACTTTACAAACTGATCGGTACAGGGCTCACTACTTAGAATAATAGCTCATTACTATCGACTGAATTAAGGGGGGGGTCCCCCCACCCGTTTTTTTTCCAGCAGTTTGTGGAGGACACTTCGAAGTATACGTCTCAACAAAGCTTTCAGTTCCCGGACTTATAGTTTTTGATAAAAAAAATTTTTAATATTTTTTCGGGTTTTTTGCCCTATTTTTAAAATTTCAATAAAAACTTCATGTTTTGACATGAAGAGTTGATTCTAGCGTAGTTCGATAGAGAACATTAACTTGTATAAGGAGAAAAACTTTACATCGTTCCCAAATGAAGTTTGACGGAGAAATTTAACTTTCACCTTCCCGAGGAAATTTTAGGGCTAAAAGTATTTTGAAAAAAGCCTTACGGCTAGTTTCGCTC